TTTTTTWTTWTTTTWTTTWTTTTTTTTTTTTTTTACAAAAACACAATTTCTCACTGGGATCAATAAAGTATTTTTGAATTTGAATTGAGTTTGAATTTTCTAAACATTCACAAACTTAAATTTCTTAAAGGGGCAATATCATGTAAAATCAACTTTTTTGTTTTATATCATGTTATAATGTTATACTCTCATAAAAAGCATGCCCAAAGCCTTGCTTTGACTCATTCATGCATGTTTGAGAAATCCTGCAGCGTTTTTAGAAAGCCAAGCTGAGGAGCAAAACGACAGGTGGGGACCAGAAACGCCTTTTGGGACCAGAAACGCCCCTGGGACGTGTCTTTAAACCGAACTTCCTTACCACGGAGCACACCTCCCTACCCCGCTCCCCACACACCCCATCCATGACTCCTGCAGGCTCTCGGCAGTGACAAAGCACACGAGCGAAACTGAAACTGTCTGCTGCTCTTACAGGGGACTTAATATGCAAAATTCACTTTTTAAAGKTTTTTTTTACTCGACTTTGGGTATGCACTTCATTAAAAACAGTCCTAGGACCAAAAATAAATGCACCCAGGGGTATATTAACTCTAAGTAAATGTATTATTCATGTATATTAATGTCAAGTTTTCAAATCCCGCGGCCTGTGATGTCACAGGCCGCAYTCCAGCCCACCCCAACCGGAGCCCAGCTCATTTCCTCGTTACCCAAGCAGAGACTCTGCCCACTTCCTCACATTACAGTTCTGCTGCTTCRCAGTCATGGAGRACAGAGATGTGTGKATTAATTTTATTTTTATTTAATATTGTTTTTATTTTTGATGGCAATGTTCTAGCAATATTAAAGCATACATTAAACAGCCATCTTCCAACCTCTTCTGCCGCTAGAAATAAGTTTTGAGCTTTTTCTGCTCTCCTTTCCTCCTGCTTCGCAGCAGGCGCTCATGTCCGCAGCCATATTGTTCTTTTTGCTGTTCATTAGTACAGTACTTACGGTGGTAGAGTATACAGAACCTTTAYGGTACTCTAGAAAGTAATGATACTTCATACCAATATTACTCAAGTAAAATAAAAAGTRTGGTTGTAAAACAAGTAGTAAAAGTACATTTCTTTCCTAAAAGTTCCTCAAGTAAAAGAATAAACATAACCAGCTTCTACCCACCTCTGTATGAAATGATGAAAAGTCTGTTTTGTAGGAGTACTTTTTTAATAAACCACTGCTGCACAGACCACAGCCCTGGGTTAATGCCTGGGTAAGCTTTTGGATTGTTCTAACAGCTAATGGTGCTTTCAGAAAGGACAGACTGAGGTTGGCACTTACCACAGAGGTAAGGTTCAGAGGAAGAAATACAGACTACACACAGACACACACAGACACACACACACAGATAGCATATCAGTTAATGCTAGATGAATGGGATTTTCCTAGCTGCAGATGTGAATACAAGGAATTTCGATCAAAGGWAAGACCATCAATGACTTCCTAATAGGGAGGTAAAACAAGCAGCAGCTACGAGGGTAGATCTGTAACATCCTCAAGGCAAGACAAGAGTCAGAAGAGTCTTAAACATGTTTTTGGTGCAACACGTTTCAAAACAGCAYATTTATGATGACCATTTCATGTTTTACAGGAGGAAATTTTATAACCTGTCCAGACAAGTGGTGTGGAAACGTACAAAAGACCTCAGGCTGCCAATCACTCCGAAAGGCCTTTGGTTGCACTGAGTGATGATAAATTTCATTAGAAAACACATGCAGGAATTGGTTTGGGCACTTCTGGCATCTTATGTAAAAACAGCTTTGAGAGAGAGATGAGGTGTTCACTCTGCCACAAAACTCACCTAAAACAAAACTGATGGCATCTGGGGAACGCAAGCATAATCCACAACCACACCAAGCCTGCCATTCTGATACCACACAAAAAYTGACAGCAGAAACTTGCTATTTAAGATTTACACACAAACTCATTGAACTTCTGTTAAAATGGAAGTAATAATTAATCTGACCGATGGTTTGTGAGTTTTTAAAACCTGTCATGTTTGTTTATTTATGTTCTTTATTAGAGATTTTGGATTATCCATCCATAAATGTGCAAACCACATACTTTGTGCCGCCAAGACGATTTACGAAGAGTTAGAGGCGTCTGTAATAATCTGCAGACAGATGGCATAACTAGATTTTGAGTTGCAGATTATAAAAAGAAGTTGTAGCCTTTTTGGTCTGAACCATTTCAGAACCTTTTTGAAAGATTTTCATCAGATCAGATGCTTAAAAAGAGATTGAGCTCATTTCGAGGGTAGGGTTGAAGTTGAAGTGTTCTAAGTTGTAACTTCTACCTAAACATCGTCTTAATGCCATTACCTTATTAGTTTTAAACTTTGAGTCATTATATTTAACCTAAACATGCACAAAAAATGAATGTGCTTAGGGAAAACAGGGCAGTGATAGTGGTAATAATGATTCCCAGATAAATTGTTTATGTTCATCTTGAATCAGATGATGACATCAGCATCATGGAAAAGCCAATCATAGTTCACCATAGTCAATAATGCTGTATTAACCTAAATTTCATGCAGATACTGTTCTGAAGGTTTGATTGGATATGCCTATTCAATGATCCTGAGTCAATCTGATTACTGTTACAGTTAAGCAAACAGAATTATCAACAAACTCAAAGCACCGCAGCCAGACTTAACCTCTGTTTACGAAGATAGCTACAATAAAGTCATACGGTATTTTTTTTTTCTCTTTAAGCGGGGAGTTCGTGCTGATTTAAATTACTGAAATGCCTTCTTGTATGTTTCTTCTTTTTTAATGTTACTGTCATTTACGATTATGACATTTCCACTTTTAACATGTAGTAGCTGACYAAATATCCAAGGAGATTAGCCATGCACCAATTTGAAAGTGTTTCTCATTATRACATTTCAAACCTGGGAATCATCCTCATTTCAGATGTTCCTATTTACTGTAATACTCCACCCAACTACTAGATTTTGTTTTTTGTRTGCTCCGTATGAGATTGCATCGCACACCCCACAGCTTGAACTTCAGTCAAACAGTGACAGCTCTGACATGAACTACTGCTTCCTCAGCGTGTTCATAAGGTGAGAGTAAACAGAACACACACTTTGTGAACTGCAAATCYCTTCAATCCTCTAAAGACATTTTTGCCTAGCAGTATTTTTTCTTACAATATTTCATGTAAAAAGTTTTAGAAAAGAATCAAAAGATTGCCATACAACCAGATATTCAAGTCTCTATTGCACATAATGTCATTTTTTGCAGCATTCTTGACTTTATGACTTTGTAAGAAAACCATTTGTAAGAAACCATTTAGTCAGCAACCAAAAACTAATTACAGCTGATTTAATTTTTCTTATGTTGCTTATGATAACAATCTTAAGCCCCAAAATTGGTACAAAAGCAAAGAGGATGCTAAAAATTTGAAAGACCACATGTGGATTGATAATTTTGCATGGTGTCTCTTGGCCTCAAAGAAAGCAACCATCCCAGCAAGGCTACTTTTAGCCAAGTTTTACGCCAGCCAGTGTAAATTTCTGAACTGCTTTGTGGATTTATTTACTTAGTACCCATATGACCTTTGGGTCTGTGCAGTCTTTCTATATATCACTACCCTGACATTTATGTCACACTTGAGAAAAACAGGCAATCCAATAAAACTCTACAAGCAGCTGAGACTTGTCTGGTAAACAGCTACAATCTGTTCACATGGAAGCCAAAAAAAAGCATACAATGTTCTGCACACTCAACATGCATGCCACGCTGCTGGTATAAAGCCAGCCCTTCAGTATCACCATGATGCCTTTTTTATGCATTGGGGAAGAATTCTGCTGCAAAAATAATGTATAAATAATTAAACTACATAAATYGGGGGTATTTTTAACACATGCACACTTCAGTTATTTTCTCCACAAAATTACATCACTAGTAAGACTACTGTCTCAAAATTATATATATTCCAAGGTCAAGGAGAATGCTTTAGTAATTGAATGATACCCAAGGATGCTCAAAGAACTGCATGCAAGTGTAGTGCTGTAACTAACAAGATGCATGTTCTAAAAATAAATGTAGACTGTAAAATAATACATGGCAGAGAAAACTAATCAAATTCATGGAGCAATTGAACGGACAGAGTGACCCATATTGGTTTTCCTCTGCTCTGATTCTGGGCAGGCACTGTTGTACCAGTGTGCCTTAAATACTCCCAACATGAAGCCCAGTGGCACCATGACCCACTTTTGACTCTCCACACATTAAATGGGATGTTGCTGGTGGATTTTCCCAACAGTCTTGGCATCACRAATCAGAATTTAGAGTGTGTTCAATTTGTGATTTGTCGTAGTGGCGTGTGTGCTTACAATCTGCTTCTACAGACTGGGTTATTTGCATATTTTCAACAAAGCAAGAAAGACAACAGCTAGTGTATGTGGGTTGCTGTGATGGTGGCAATGGCTGTTTTGATCCAAATGGCAAAATTGTTCAGGATAGGACTGATTTCATACAGGTTCACTGGGCTCAACAAGGGTTACATATTTCCCACAAAGCAAAATTGATTTAGCAGTGCAAATAAAAATGTTCAATTTGAAMAGTTAAAAGAGAATTTAAAAAAATCTCAGTTTAAAGTAAAATTTCATTCCATAAACTAGGAAACTGTAGCTTAAAGCAAATCACAGTCTTCAATCAATAAAATCATTGTTATCAATYATTATTTTTCCTCCACAGAAAGACTAACTGATACCAGAGATTCCATGGATGGAYTGACTCACAATTGATTTAACATTAAGTTATAGGTCCCTGGCAATGCTTCCCAAAAGAACACTGCACTCTCACAAACAGCTTAACAGTGAAAAAACCCTACAAGAATGCACTTTTTTCCCCTTTTTTTTTGAAAAATATGATAC